AGAGACTTTTATACCAGTATAYCCACAGCCAGAGGGTTGAAATTGTAATTAAACTGAAACTTGACTCAGCTCGTCTTTACTGTTTAAACTGAACCTAATGGCTCACATCCCTTTTTCTRCAGCTTGACATTCAGCTGTGGGGAGGTGAAGACATGTTTATGCTTTAACAATACTGTCTTTCTGGAGATTAACACGCCGTCTCTAGAAACTGGACTTAACATATCTGAGAATRAAGTAAATCCAACTGAGCTTGACTCGGTTTAAATGGCTGCCTTGTGTGAGTCTTCTTCTGCGTCTGCCTGAGTTTAAACACTCCRGTTTAGACTCGTGTTCTGGTTACTGTGGCGTCAACATGTCACGTTTACTTTCAGGTCTGGGAGGAATTTCTATGCTCTCTGATGATGGCGCAACATTAAACTGCCTGCCTCAGTCCAGTCGCATGTTTAAGATGCTATATTTGGATATTTCTAAGCCTTTCTGCACTCTCCTGCTGCTGCAGTGCGCTTCACGTCAGTGTAAAACTCCTTTTGCTGTGGAAAAACACCAGATCCTTGGTCACCAAACAGTTCAATTTAATCAATAAAATATTCACTTTTTATATTTTTTGTAATTTTTTTATTAAACAAGACTTTTAAAATCCTACACAGGCTAATTTAAATGAAGGTGAAGGAATCTTGTTTGATCAGAGAGGTATTTATGCTTTTGTTCATCAATCACACCACACACAGGAGCAGTCTGTTTATTGCACAACCTGGAAGTCCAAACTGAAGGAACATAACATGCATGATGTAAGACATACCACAGCTCTGCAACACAAAAAGACMCATTTGTGAAATATCTGAATACTTCTGAAACAAAATAAACCCACTGAGTGGTTGTCTCACCACATTTCACTGTGGTATAATCATGAGTGAACAAAATATGTAACAAGACCTTAAMCAGGTGAAATTTCCACCTCTGCCTGTGTGGGTTCAACATCACACAGGATATATTAAACATCTGAAATGCTACATTATTAAAAGAAAAAGAAAAGTCTCACATCAGGAGAAATTTTTACAACTTCAGAGCAGCTAGTCTCTCCAACAAAAGCCTCTTCTTATATCTTAACTGACTGGCTTCTCTGATTGCCTGCCACTTCTGCAGATCCTCTTTGCTACAGGAAGAAGGTACAGAGGGGGTCACATGAGCAGCTGAATGGCCTCTCTGTGAGGGCTGGCTCTGATCAGAATGGACTCCAAGCTTCCGAATTAGCATGTCATCTGTTTCAGGATGCACCTCCTTTTCAACATGAGTCTGGTCAGTTGTTGCTTTCTTGGTCAGAGGACACGGTGGGCAGAGAAGTCTGGCTTTCAGTTCTGGGGGGAGCGCCCATGGCTCTGGGATGTGCATGGCAGCGTAGTTATCAGGAGCCCCTGAGAGCGCTCGCTGCTGCTGAGCCTGCTGAATTCTCTCCTTGCGACAATTAACGTCATCCTGCTCGATGTCTGGAAAATCAGTTTCCTCTGCATCTCCGTGACGAAGCTGCTGGGTGACAATATTGAGCTGTGGCTCAGAGGAGTGGAGCCGACGTTTGGCTGACAGCTGAGTCTTCATCATTGCCAGGTCAGTGTTAGACTGAAATGACAGGGTCCGCCTGGTGAACATGTCATCATTCTCCAAGTCGGGGTCAAGGCTTTCATAATCAAAGGGATCTGGCGGCTCTCTGGGATCTTGGCGCCCCAGGAGCGGCCACTGCTCACATTTGACCAGTCTGGGACCGGAGGTGGGATCCACAGGGGCAAACACCAGCGGAGGGACCTCACAGAAAGGGAGTTCTATCTTGGGAAGCTGTGAGGGTGTTTGTGGTTGGACATGAGGACTGCAGGGTGGGCAAAAGGAGAGAAAAGGACAGAAGTGATGAGCGCATGCATGTGAACTGGATGAAGGTGCAAGAAAAGAAGGAAAAGACTTAAAAAGTAGTCATTGTTGGGATATTTGATTCAAACAGATGCTGATCAAATGAGGACTAAAAATAAAACTATAGTCTCTATAAAGTCAAGAAGAAAACCAATTTTTTTTTCAAAATCAAGTGAGCAAACTTCTTGTTAAAGCATGTTAAGGCAACTCTAGTAGCTTATCAGTGTCTTTCATTAGTTCTTAGGAAGCTTTTCAGAATAGCAGCCTCTAAATGTTTTCTTTAAAATCCGATGCTTTTAAAATAAGTCTGCGTCGTCGCAGTCATGCAGCTGTATCAACCTTTTCCCGACAACGAGGGTGGTGCGAGCCGAGGCCTCGTGTGTGTGCGAGTGGGAGGGAGGTTTGCCGGAAGGACAGGGGGCTGAGGAGAGCCAGGGGCTGATGTCGCTGTCTGAGTCATCAGAGGAGCTGGACTTCTGACGGCTACAGTCAAAGAGCAGCAGGACAGATGAAGGGAAGGGGACAGAGGAGGTGATGTGATTGTTGGAAGAGAAAAAGAAATATTGAGCTGGAGGGAATTACAACAGAGGAAAATGCAGTGAAGTGTCATTTTATATTAGCAAACACTTTTTAAAGGAAAAACAAGTTATAGAAATAGGTTGAGGTATTAAAAGTATAAGGAGGTCRATAAGTGCAGGGAACTATATGTATATGTTTGGTTCCTTGTCATGCKGCATCTTAACACCCTCACACACCTGAAGCCTTGCATCTTCTTGTACCAGGGCCTTTTCTGAGAGCCCAGTTTAATCTTCTGCACGTGAACGTCTTCTTCTGGCGACCAGAACTTGGGTAAAAACTTGTCATACGACACGTTGTTTGCAGGCTGGGGTTTGATGCCCATCTTACGGGCATAGAGATCGTCCTGCACAGGGTCAGCRTAGCCCACCTCATCATCCTCATCCTCAGAGTTGACATAGATGTCCCTGAACAGGCTGTCGGTGTTGACGGCTCGGTGGTGGTCCACTTTCACAGAACTGCGTTTGGGCGACTGCATTTTCCTGCTTTTGCTGCTCAAAAGAGACAGCCAACGAAAAGTGTCACAAAGAGCTTTTTTTAACAGTAGAGAAGCTCACAAGCCGTGCTAAAAAGAAAACAAAACGAGCATATTTTGTTGAGCACAATAATCCCAAATCAAACGATGCAAGGATTAGCAAACCAAAACAAACTCAAAGGCAAACCACAAGGTCAAACTGGATCTGATGACTCAGATCACATCTCAAGCTCAACAAACATGGATGCGCTGCAGCTTAATTCTCAAAATAATTCAAGTGGTTGAAGCAATGTTAGAGGCAGAAAATCTGGCCAAAAATGGTTCTCAGGGTTGCAGTTAACCATGCAAACTGAGGGTAAGAGAAGCTCTCATCAGACAGGCACATCACACTGCAGCTGTGTAATCTGACCTGTCCAAGGTCACATTTTGCTGAGGTGTAGCACTGGGAGTAACAGTGACCGTAGGCCAGGGGCCCTTTTTACCCCGAGCCACTCGTCCCCCTGCTGAGGGACTGATGGGCACAGCAAAGTTGATGGGAGGGGCCGGGGAGGGACTGTGGAAGCGTCTGCTCGCCAGATCATCTAGAACGAGGTCAGGATCCGGTCGATCCGTATCCGAGCTGCTCCCACTTTCATAATCGAGACCCCACTGGTGGTGAGCTGCTGGCAAGGCACTCTGGGTATTGCAGCTGCCGCAACAGTAGCATTTGGAAATCATCCCACCGCAAAAATGAAACAACACACGGTCCATTCACAGTCAAAGTGATGAGAGCAGAGAGGCAAAAACAGCCACTGTGTTAACTTCAGGCAATTAAACGACAAGTCACTGTTTATAAAGTCATAACTTATTAGCAAGAAAAAAATAAACAAACTCCTCAATTATTAGATGGCAAGAAACACGACTTTTCCACAAATCAATGACAACAGTGAGTGTTGTACCTGGTGAGCACGCCTTCATCCTCTGAGTAGCTGAGGCTGGCCCAGCTGCGCCGGCTGTCCTGTTCAGCCCGTTTCTTCCTTAGCGGAGCGGGTACGTAGCCCGACTGTTTGTCTTTCGTGGGCAGGAACTGGTTAAACTGGGCGGTGGCTTTAGGTGTGATGACAACCGACCGGCGGTAACTGATACCGCTTTTGTTCTCGGCCATCCTGAAGATGGAATCTGCTTCTGCGTCGCTGCAACAACCTGGACCATGAAAGAAATGAGAACAAAAAAAGAGTGTAAATGGAAGAAAATAGAAGAGAAAAGAAACAAAGAAGCATGAAAAAAAAGAAACAAAACCAGGATATAGAAAAGACTGAGGGGTGTGTTAGACACTGAAGGCGCAACAGAGGGGTGCAGCGTGGGGAACAGAGGTCTCTTCCTTCACAGGCTGCTGTGGACGGCTGAGGAATGTCTCAGTTCACAATAAAAGTAAAGAACTGCTCTAAAATACTAAGAAATCATACCAGAAATGTTTTACACCGAGTTGTCCCAGTTTCTTTATGGAAAAATGTAACCAAAGCTATTCAATTACAAAAGCGTTCCACTAGAGGGCAACACATATTTGTTTTCACAAAGCAGAGGAAACTTTCCAAGCAGACCTTTCCTGTTCAGAAAAGTTTGAATTTCTACACTGATGAATTGGATTAGATTTAGACACTGCTCAGCATGGGAAGCCATTTTAAAATAAAATGTTTGTTACTTGTACCTTCACTGCCACCCCTCAGAGTGGCGTCAGATGAGATGCTCCGGGGTCGAGAACCCAGAGAGTCCAAACTGTCCAGGGAGTCGTCTCTCCTGTGTCCTCCTCCTCCTCCACCACCTTCTTCTCTCAGATGGTAGATCTCCTCACGCTCAGGGTACCAACTATCTCCAAAACCGCTGTCTCTGATGCTGCTGGCCTTCTCCCCGTTTGATTCGTGCAGAGCCTTAAACACAAAACCCAGCAGTAGCACATTTCAATAACGGGGTTCCAGAGATGTTTTTTTCTGCTGGCCTCTCATACTTTTATTTATTTTATTAAACGTACATTCTTAAATGCATCATACAAGGCGACACAAAATGAAATCTACATTAAATATCCTTATTTTCTCCTCTGTCATCTCGGTCATAAACAAACAGAGCCCTACACCCTCCTAATGACGGTGTTTACCATGAGAAAAGACTGTCAAGCACATAAATCCATCAGCAAGCCTCGAACAAGCCAAAACGTGTCAGCCACTTTAAAAAGAAAACGATTTTCAGATCTGTAATCTGCAGAATCCTGCCAGACAATACAGGTCCACAAATTAAACCCAGTCCAACCCTCAGCCACTGAACTTGGATTAATGTGGCTCAATGTACAAAATGTGCTCTAACCCACTGCTATTACTTAAAATCCCTGTAGTCAATTGAATTACGGGGAAGGGGGGTGGGCACCACCACCCATGAATCCACAAGGACACGAAGTGCCAAGTTCAACACTGGCACGAGCTGAGAGGGAGGGGGGAGGAAGTGGTATTCTTCCCTCAAGAAAAGAATGTGCTATTTTAACATGTGAGCCGTGCAAACTGTGTGCCATGGTGTAAAGATTAAAAAAAAAAAACTGAGTCAATGACACTAAGTTGCTGTGAGTTGATTGGCCAGAGAATTACAGTCACTCTTCCACACATACGCGGTCCACATACCAGGGAGGATATAGGGTCTCTGCACAGACTGTTAGAGGGGTTTATGTTTAAACTGAGCAGTCACTTCCACTACTTTTAGAGGAACTCACCTTGTATAGTGCTGTGCCCAATAATCCCTCAAATGCCTTGAAGTTCAGGTAAGGTCCATTATAGAAGCGATCGCACTCAGCTCTTCTACCCAACCAGTAAATGGTGATTAAAACCTGCAGAGGAAAAGAKGAAAAGGTTATCTAAACAAAAACAGGATGCATCAACTACCTTTAATCTCTGCGATGAATGTTCTGCGGAGCGTAAAGTAAACAGTTATGATAAAAGCATCCCTGCTGRGTGAAGGTCTTTTCACTTGTGTCACGCTTTTGTTTCCAGGCTCATCCAGAAAWGCTGCTGCTGTTCGCTGCTTTCAATATGAAGCCAGCCAGGTAAATTGCATAAACAAAACCAAAAACACAYGTCTGCACATCAACATTCCTGCAGCCTGGTTACTTCTGACAGGGTTTACATTTACGTCAGTCTAAATTCTGACGGCTGCATTTGTAGAAATGTTTATACAAGTTTATATAGTGAAAATAAATAAATGAATAAAAATCTCAAAGCACTGCAGCTTTGATATAAGATGTTTCAATTATGAATTCACCAGCAATTAACTAAAATTATCACTTTCATAAAAAAAAATCTTAAACTGCTTATTTTGTTGTTTAATATTTACAGATTTAAATCTACTTAATAGCCTATATCTTTAGTAAGTTTATAAGAAGTTATTACCGAAGGAAAAAAAG